CTAGATGGTTTGGAGAGACGTTCAGTTCTCCTCCCCAACCATAAGTCCAGTCATCAGATCTGAGCAATAATTGAAGTCTAAAGTTTAGCTCAGGCGGCACATACTCGGCTTATGCTTATGCCTAAGGTTGGACATAGGCCTAGACTTAGGCTTGCAACGAGCACTGGCCGAAGGTGCTGACTTGAAGACGAAAACCGATATAGTAGATATACACCCAGATGGTTAGCAGTACGTTTGCCACCGCAAGTATGTATAGTGCAGTAGTTCGTGTATCCTCCAGTACACTCAAATTTGCAGGAAGTGGCAAGTTGCATGGACGTGGACCATTTCTTTTTCGCCTTCACACCCACCCTGGGCCGTATTCAATCCTTCCCCCAGGGGGATATATCCCCCTCCTCTGATTCAATCCTCTGGGGGGACAAAAAAGGGTTGCGTCATAGGACCTAGCATACCTCTGTGTTTCTACCTGCCAGACAGTTAGAGCAGCGCTACTACCCTCCACTGATGAAGCACTCTTTTCCCTGAGGGGTCGCGCTGCTCTAACTGTCTGGCAGGTAGAAACACAGAGGTATGCGGTCCTATGACGCAACCCTTTTTTGTCCCCCCCGCCCCCTAAGCTGGTTTGCGGACTACTTGATTTTCCTCAATGGTCCTGCCGCGATGGCTAGAGCACAGACGATTAGAGAACGGGTGAATGCCCTAGGACTAAGCCTTGGAGAGGAGAGGGACCCACGAGAGAACGCAGAGGCGGTTTAAAGGGCTGAGTTCAAGTAGTCCGTCAACGATCCCGCCCCCAAGCTGGGCGGATCTGAATCAGAGAAGGGGGACGCATCGGAAGGATTGATTATGGCCCCCTGAGGCTTCCTTCAACTGCAAAACTAAGGATTGCTATGAATGGCATTAACTATCATCACATGACCCAGCCCTCTTTTTATTCAAACACCGGAATTTCCCATTTATGCCCAGCGAACTGAAGGACGGCGACATAACTTTGTCGTCTGCCTTCAAGCCGTTGGAACAGAGACGCAGAGAAAGTAGCTAGCTGTCTTGCCCGATGATGGCTGGGTCGTGGATTCTCATTGGAGCGCAGCAGTCTGTAGCTGAATTGGTGAACGCTTCACCAACTCACGCACCCTTGTTTCCTTTTTCTGATTGATCACAAATTGAAATGATTTATTCTTCTTTCTTTTTTTTTTTTCTTTTTTAACACATTTTGCTATGAGGAGAGCAGTGACGTGATTAACTTATGTGACTGCCGCCTCCTTGAAATTGGCAAACGCCGTTGTTCCTGGTAATTGCCTATCATATTTATAATATTTCTAGCGCTAGTCAACTGAATCAGCTTTTTCAATGTTGGTCTAGTACTTGAAAATAACCGTTCTCTGTTAACTCCGGCTTCATTCCATTTTTATCCACTTCTTCGTCGCGATTGATCCAAAATTGGGAAGACGGTTTGTTGATGCCAAGATGAAGCCCTAAATTTTTGAAGTCCAGTACTGTGAAGTCGTCTATTTATGTAAAAAGGGTGACAAAAGTCAAAAATGTCGCAAATATTGCTTTGCTTCTGAATGAAATACACGTAAAATGTGTAGCTCCCTTTTGATTTTTTGAAATGTCGTCAACATTTCTATTACTCAGACTTTTTTCCTTTTCTATTTTTTTCAATCCGGCAGTCAAGAACACAGAGGTTTTGTTACCATCAAAATGGCGGCTTAATTTCGACAAGTCGTGTAAAACCTCATTGACTGGCAATGCTCGACAATGCTTGGTGCATCAAACAATTTCATAGCAGGCATTAGCGGTAAAACCAGTTTTGAGGCTCATAGCACGCAAATTCCGGTTGCTTGTTTGTCACTTACATCTTTTTTAACCTGCATATTTACGATGCCTTTTTGTGTTTTATGAGAAGATGAAACTAATGGAATGCTTTCGAGTCTCTGAAAACAAGACTAAGCATGACCTTCCACGAAGGAATCATCTCGACAACAATGGCGAAGACAATAATGAAGATTGTGAGCTTTTCGAAGCTGTTTTTGTTTCTTCACAGTTTGTTAAGCGGATTTCAACGTCTTCTGTGATTGGCTTTTACGCGTATGACTTATCATTTCTTCATAGAATAACATCATGGAATCTCCGGAAAACCCTGGAATAAAAGGTGTTAGCCAAGATGAACAAATTTATGAGAAACTTCTTCTAGTTCGAGCATATGAAGTCGACGGATGGAGGGTTGGTTACGAGATCGAAATGAATGGAGTTGGAATCGTGAACGAACCGACCATGCGCACGATGGATTCAAGGTTTTCTTAAGCTTCATTGCTTTTAGTGTGTGATAGATTTTTGTACTCCTCTTGTTCAGGCTTCCCAGACACTGACCCAGAGACTGATGACGACCTCGATTTGGACGATGATGAGGCTCCCTGTTATCCAGGCTACCGCACGCTCCCATTTCAGATGGAAGAACGTGTTTCGGAGAACGTCACAAGCTGTGACGAAGGGATAGACCAGGTACGATATTTTGTAGTTACGCGCGAATGCCTTCGCTTCTCCACCGATTTCTCAGATGAATTGAATTTTTAAGTTCCATTGGTTTGGTCAATTCATTCAGCCCTTTGTATGCAGTATTCGATTTTTAAGGTGCATATTACGTCTTTGGGCGGAAGTGGTGTAGTGGCAAGTGGCGCTTACCACGCGAGCGGTCCGGGATCAAATCCTGGGTCGTGAGTCGCCCGGGCCAACCAAGCCTTCCATCCGGGTCGGTTAATTGGTACCAGACTTGTCTGGGAGGATAAAAACACTGACTTGTACATCGGCTGGCCCCCGCAAGTCATTGTATAGGCCACATCGCATTCAAACGCCACTACGAATGTACAAATGGAAGTAGAATGCGTGCCGCATCCCAAAAGGGATTGATCAACGGCAAATGGTTTTTAGCTTTTTATATTACATCCTTATTTTAACGTTCTCGCATTTTGATGAATTCTGTTAGCGTTGCGTTGTTGATTATCTAATTATTCTGCTCCATTCTTAGAATTTCTTTTTCTCACAGGTTGTAGTAGTGATATTAGGTTTCATCACTGCGAACGCTTTTTCCTCACACGACCTCTCACTTTTGATCTTCTTGACTTCACCTCTGCATAGGTTAGCTTTACAGAACGAGTCGACGAGCTCTGAGGGTGTCAGCGTTGGCGATACTGAGGAAACGCCCGCCATCGAGGTGGAGTTAGTTATCCAATCAGAAAAGAATTCGAAAAGGTGCTCATTGTTTCCCGCTTGAATATTTTAAAAGAAAGCTATCATTCCAACGGTGCGTTTTTCAGCTTTTGCAAGAGAAATCTGCCGCATCCGGTATTTCCCAAGAGGAAGTGATACCGCATCAGCCAAATAGTATCATCCTTGATGACGGTAGGCTCAATGTTTGTGTGCTTTACTGAATCCAATGTCATTTCTATTCGTTCAGAAAAGATTCAAGCTATCCGAGAAGCGATGTCAGGATTCACGCTGCCATCTCCTCCAGAGTGGGCCAATTTGGATACCGTTAAACTGAATGAGATCATAAATGAGAAAATCACTCCACAGCTCTCTTGCCATAAGCAACAATGAAGGTTATTCTCCTGTAAAGGTTTTTTCTATCCCAACTAAGGTGACAGGTGTGTTTTTCCGCTTTATATTTCTTTTACAGTTATCGGTATTAACCGGTTACCCACTCATCAACTCTATTTTCCATATCTGCAATTTTATTGTGATTGTTTCTTGAACTTGACGAGATTGTTGTTCATCTGTGATGGGGCTTTTTCGGATTTTTTTGATGTGAATTTTTGACAAAACATCCAGATAAAATCCGCTAAACTTTGTATATGTCTGAATAACTAGAACCACTAAAGGTATTACCTAAATCCTTTATGTCCTTCCAAAATCGAAATGCGTCAATTTGTTTTTTTGCTGCATCGCATCAAACATTTCATTTAGTCCTTGCGGTCACTCTGCCGTGAAAGGCTACGTTTATTTACCGGTCCTCTTTTAAACAGGAAATCTCTAGTCGCCATATGTAAACGACCTATCAAAGTTGCTTCGTAAATATAAGGCAAGTGTGCTTCTTAAAGCTGTTTTTTGAAGATCAAAAATTTTGCTAGACATTGATTTCATTTTCTGTAGTGTTTGCTTTTTGATGGAGTCATCCAAACCGACCATCAAGGTGTTTTCCGACTCCCCTTGCTATATGTCTGCGTAGAATTATTGGTTTTCGTTCTTTTTCAGTGAGTTCTGGTGAAGATGAGCCCGTTTGAATCTTTTGAATTTTCTTTAGATATAGCTTAAGTTAACGATTTTTGCTAGTCCTTCGATATCAGCTTGAAGGTGAAAAATCTAGCGCATGAGGCCTTGCACCGCTTGTACTTCTATGTGTGCAATTTTTTTTCTTTTTTCCGAGGGAATTGTTTCCGAATGAATTATAAATGAAATGTAATTATTGTTCGGTTGTTTTTTTTTTACTTTTCGGCTTGATTGTTCCATATATGTGATATTTGCCATTGAATATAAACGCTTGGTTTTTCTTCTGAGAGTGAATGGTACGAAAACGCCTCTGCTCTGCTGTGAATTCCTTTTTCTGTGCTATTGTCTTTATTTTTGATGCTACTAACCAGGAAAGGCATTCAACTTCCCATGGAACTTTGAGATGAGACCCAGATATATCGATAGAGCTTCAAACGCTGATTACAAATATGGAAACTAAAACTGCAAAATGAACCTGCCAAGGAAGTTGTGAGCAGTCAAAGTTGGCTGGAAGTAAAGCATTACACTAGCCTCCGGGCTTTCAAAGTCGCCGTGGAGTAGTGGTAGTGCTCTCGGAATTTGCGCTCCGACGGGAGGAGAGCTTATGACCTCCAGGGTGAATAGCGAGGGCACCACCACTGCTCCGCGGTGACTATGAAAGCCCGGAGGCTAGTGTGATGCTTTACTTCCAGCCAACTTTGACTGCTCACAACTTCCTTGGCAGGTTCATTTTGCAGTTTTAGTTTCCATATTTGTAATCAGCGTTTGAAGCTCTATCGATATATCTGGGTCTCATCTCAAAGTTCCATGGGAAGTTGAATGCCTTTCCTGGTAAGTGTTACATCTGTAGATGACATACGTATTCAAAATTGTAGACCATGTCTCGGAAGCGTGAACATGCCGTCGATTGTGAAATGGGTAAACGTGGTGTGTGGTTGGTTAAGGTGCGTCTCTCTTGACCGAATACTGTTTTTGCTTTATTTCCATGCTCAGTGCGCATAGCCTGTATGTTTCTGGTTGAAAATTTGCTTTATTTACCCACTGCTTAGGTACCCCTCGGTATCTGTCCGATCTATGGGAAGCCAATGCGCAGGAACTGATGTGGGTCGACTAGTAATACAAAACAGTACAAACCCGAAAGGAGATGTGAGTTTGGGAATTTTTACTCTTACGTGACTTGTCTTGCTTGGCTCTAAGTTCCTTCTCAAAAAAGGCTAACTTTGAAAGAATCCGAGAAACCATCATAAGGTTTTGCTCTATATCTATCTCGAATTCTTACATTTTCTTCAGGTCAAATTGAAGTCTCGTCCAGGTCTGGTTTTGCCGGCGTCCATCTCCTCAAGCTTGAAAGGTAGATTATTCAAGACACTCGTTTTTTTGAGCTGTATACGGTTTGATTCCGTGGTAGTAACAAAGTTAAGATCCTGCAGTAGCATAATTTAGGTCCTGCAAAAATTCCTGATGAACATTCCTTCATTCTCGGTGATGTCCTCAACCAGACCATGGCAGTGCTTGTGCAGAAGATAAGACAGGTCTCAACGAAGAGGCAGAAGTCAAGTGAGTCAGCTGCCGCAGGGATCCTCGTCAACGTGCCGCCATAGCTCAGTCGGTTAGAGCGTGGGTCTAATAAGCCCAAGGTCGCAGGTTCGACCCCTGCTGGCGGCAAAGTTTTGCTTTTGGTGCAACGTCTTCCAGAAAGGTCCTTACTATGACAGTTATTGAAAAATATACATTTTTCAGACCAGGGCGGCTTTCAATTGAAGGAAGGGTTGTAAAGAGAGCAGAATGTCGCCCTCCAGCGTCAAGCAGCTATTTGAAAATGAAAATCGCTCAAATCTCTAGTAGTGGGCAACCGAAGAAGCAAGTTCTACAGATGGAGAAGGTACAAATTTAATACCTTTCCCTTGCTTACTTTTTCACTTAGTCTTTCTGTGAGTGTCAAATTTTCAGGCAGCTGTGAAATTCAAACCTGTCGCCGCACACGCGGAGGATATGATGAGAATTAAGCAGAAGAAAGAAGGAGCAAAGACAGTACGCGCAGATCGTAATGTACTCATGCAGGCTTTGTTCCACGCCTTCGAGAAGCATCAGTACTACAGGTTAGCCAACGCTTTCCAATCCCATGTATTTCTATTTTTCTGCTTCTTTCCGCTCTATTTTCGGCTTTTTTCAATACTAGTACCAATTTTTACGTAGCACAACTGTGACAGTAGTAATACTCCTTATTTTTAGATTACAAGATCTGCAGCAGTTGACGCAACAACCTGCTGGATATGTTAAGGAACTGTTGACAGAAATTGCCGTGTACAATACTGCTCCACCGCATAAAAGCATGTGGGAGTTGAAGCCTGAATATCGGGATTATGCGGTGCAAAAGTGATTTTGTTCTGATGGATCTCGAGATTTGTGATTAGCTTGGATTCCTTTAGTGATATAATTGTTTTACTCGGGCTTTGAAACTTAACCTCATGAAAAGGGCGGTTAGCGGGCAGACAGATGGATGAAGATCCACACATGAATCTTTTTTTGTGAGTACTTATAAGTATTGACCTGTGCATATTAGTCGTTGTTTTCTAGCAAAATCCTTTTTTGAAGATTCGGCTTTATTGTATGTATTATTTATTCTGATAGCCGTTATGTTGCAGAATTGATAAATGATTAAGACGTACCGTTGGTCTTAACGTTGAACATATATGTGTAGAAGCGTATATTTGAACAGTGCTGAACAGAAGCAAGTTATCCAAATTTGATTCGTGTAGTATGGCTCACATGTGATGATAAGGGTACGTGATGCTTTGAACATGGTTGATTTCGTGGTTCAGAAGAAAAGTGCTCTCGGGCGAAGTGGAATAATCGAATCATGGGGTGAGTCTTTTACTTCCTCCCTTAAGGAGGAGTTTATATAGCGCTTTTTTTGCTTTTTTTTGCTGTTTTTTTTTATTCTCGAGAAGACAGTGGGAAAGGAGGAATTTTGTCACCTTAGCTTGAAGGTGCTGAGTGAGGCGCCCTGCCTGATGGCATTCGGGCGGTATTGGATCGTACAGCTTTTCTTTTCTGTCTTTACGTTTTGAAGCGTCGACGATGTTACAAGTTGACCGACAAAACCTCCTCCTGCGTTATATCGTGGAGCGTGGGACGGTGGAAGGGGGGGGAGGGACAGGGATGAAGGACTTGGGCATCTTGAACTCATGAAGTTTCATCGATTGTCGGTATAAACGGTAAACAGGAGGAGATTGATTTTGACCAGTGGGTCGAGCATACCTCCACTTTGGAGGACTCCCAATTTGAGTTCATATAATAAAGTCGGAATACATCATAGCGGCGAGCTGGGTCCAATAAATTTATGAGTCGGTTTCTTTCGATATTTGAAGTTTTAAGGAACACGGCATCAGTAAGGCGAGATTGCTATTAGAACGCGACAGTTCTTCAGTATAGATCCAGCAAAGGTATTCTATCGGCAAGTGACGCCTCTTGGCATGCGTACAATTTGGGGTAGCCAAAATCTTGGTTAGCACGTTTTCCAGGCCAATTCCCTCTCTACGGGCTTGGTTGACTTGTGCAAGAGCTGTAGCGGAGGTGAAAGCAGTGTCTTGTGCCTCGGCTGAACTCCAACAAGTCACATAAGGCGCAACTGGCATTCGAAATTCCAGCTTCAGTTCTGAATGGAAATGTTACGCGTGGCACAATCACAAAAGGAATAGATAACGCCTTTTATGGCTTTTCTGTCTTGTGTTTATTCCAAATTCAGCCATTTAACTTACTTCCAACCACTGAATTTACTCGGCGTCACTGCTGAAGCATGCAACACCGGTCGTGTATGATATATCCTTCGAGCAGGTCATATACCTCATCTTACATGGGATGTTGTACTGAAATGGTTGAAATTCAACCAGACTCCAATCTATCAGTTTACGATGCCGGCTTTGTGAGTTTCCATTTGGGATAGCTGAATCCGACTCAGAATAGGTATCTCTCCAAGAAGCCTTGTAAAGTAGAGGGACTATTAATTTCAGGCTCGATTCCTTGAAAGTGATCCAGAAATTTGGCAAAGGTGCGCCGGCGCTCTGCGGAATGCCTGTATGTATATTTTGTCTTCATTTTGTTATCATGTGTCGTCATGCAGTCGCTTTTTTCTAATTAATAGATAGTTCACTTATCATATTTCATGACCTTTTTTCAGAAAAACTCCGCAGTCCATCTGCAAATCAGCGATCCTCTGGGTGAGTGGAGACCTGGTTTCAACGATACCAAATCTATAGCAGTTTTCACAAAAGGAGGTAAAAGAATGGTGAGTGTCTTTTTGAATCTCTCAGAAAAAATCGTCAGTGGCAATCACTTAGCCCTGAAGGCTACTCATGACTAATTACATCTATTTTCGAAATGCCTTGCACAAACCCATTAAGTAGAGGATTCACCCGCCAAAAGGTACTAACAATAAGCTAACTACGTTGAGGTTTCAGCTGGATCCACGAATGTATCGCGAGATTGTGCGGAACTTTATGTGCGATTCGTTTGACACTATGCTCGATTATGATGTACCGCGAGGTTCTCTCAACAAACGCCTTTCCAAAGCAATTGATCGAACGAAAACGTTCTACGAACTAGTGGTGGATCATGATGAAAGCCCCGAGGTACTGTAATACTACTACCAATAAATGTAGAGGTTACCAAGGCCAGAGTGCTTATTTAATCAAGTATGCAAAGTTCGAAGTTCTGGGCGGAAGTGGTGTAGTGGCAAGTGGCACGCTTACACCACGCGAGCGGTCCGGGGATCAAATCCTGGGTCGTGAGTCGCCCGGGCCAACCAAGCCTTCCATCCCTCCGGGGTCGGTTAATTGGTACCAGACTTGTCTGGGAGGATAAAACACTGACTTGTACATCGGCTGGCCCCCGCAAGTCATAGGCCACATCGCATTCAAACGCCACTACGAATGTACAAATGGAAGTAGAATGCCAAAAAGGGATTGATCAACGGCTGCTTTATCCCCTTTTTATGCAAAGTTCTAACGACCCTCACATTATAGATAATGCTCATACTTTTTACCTTCACGGTGGGGGATATAGTTATTTTTATCGGAAATGGAGAGAACTTGCGAAAGGAAGTGGCATCGATGCGAAAGAAAAAGACATCTCCAAAAGGTGAATCTAAGTGTTTTTTTGAGGTAGACGCAGCTATGAAGAAGAGACACTGGGCGTCGAGGACAGGTATTCAGATAAAGGAGCATAGTTGCGATTGGTGCGCAGACACTCCACTGCGCAGAACGTTGCGCTGCTAATAACAGTTGCAACAGGTCTCAGCCCAATGATAAGGCTCTGCTTCCTTGTAGCACACTTTCGAGCTGCCAGATAGGCACATTTTGTACTTTCGATTGGTCTTATTCTGTTGAACGAGGGCTCGATTCCCATAGATTGATCTTACAATTAGAATAAACTTCAGCAGTAACTTGTGCCCATATCTTTGCTTCTTCAGGGAGCTGTGATCGTCTCATTGGGTGGAGGATTCAATGATTATTATCGGAGAAAATGCGCTGTGGATGTTGGTCTCAACAAAAGGTGTGATGGGTATTCGGTGGGTTTTCTCGCTCGCTCGATATCCCTCCTCCTGTCTAAATATTACGTTTCAAGGTCGATCTGCGAGAATTTACACACGGGAGCGAGGTGGACAAAGAAGAGTTGAAGAAACTCGTTGAAGAGACGTTTGTGAGTATAGTAATACTTTTGAATGCGTTTGTCACTTTCCATAAGCAACACCTCCACAAATCAATTTCAAGCTGGAAATATTTGAGGGCCCTCTCCCACCTACTCGATTTCGCTTCGTGTCTGGACCTTTCGATCCAGCTATGGTGTTGTACCTTGTTCGGCTCGGATTTGATTGTTTCGACTCATCGTATGCTATCAAGATCTCTGAAGAGGTAAGTGGTGGTGCAAATCGTTTCGAAGCTGAGTTTCGGTTTGGAAGATGGTCTACAAATCGAAGCTTTTGTTTCAAATCAAAAGCCTAATCTCATGAGTCGGGAGTAGGATCTTATCAATCGTAGCCCCTCTCTCGCCCCTCTCACCCCACCCAGGTTGGATTTCATGGATAGTGTTCATGAACCTCGTAAAAGATTACAGTTTTCAACTCCGAAATCCGAAAGTGTCATGAAACAGAAGAGGTTCATGTTTCTAGACACAAGATACCATTTCAGCAACCCCTTCTCCTATTTTGGGCAGATAGGCTGATTGTGATCACGAATTAGGCTATCAAAAGCACCTCTCAATGTCGTGCCCTATGGGTGGAACACCGTCAAACCTTTCATCTCTTCGAAATGTCGATTGGCTTGATTTCGAGGGCATGGAGAAAAACATTTAGCACAGCCCCAAAATTCGCAATTTGAGTCTTGGAGGTGAAATGACGTTACAGTGGAAATTGTGGATGTATAGAATTACTTAGCTCTTTTTCGAACCAATCTAACGATTTTGAAACCGTACCCCCTTTCGTTGGTGTTCAATTTGTTTTACTAAGTTATCTTTTTAGGCAAAATGTCTTCGCTTAGCCGACGATTACCCATACTCGTCGCAGTTTGAGCTTTTGGAATTCAACGACGATAAGTATGCTATTCTTTCAGTGATGCCGTAGCACGGTACAAAAATCTTATATGTGTTTATCATCACATCGCAACTTTAGATATGCTTGGATGGTACGAAAAGTCGTTTGATTCGTGCGAATGCTATACGTGCAAGAACTACACGCGAATGTATCTTCGACATTTGACCAATACAAAGGAGTTGCTGGGTCCCATATTGCTTGTCATGTGAGTTTTTTTAGACCCTGCTCTCCGTAATCCTTGAAAACCCGTTCTTTTAGACACAAACATAACGAATACCTTTGTGGATGTTTCTTACAATTTAGGTTGAAGCGGATGCAGTATAATTCCCTTGGTAGAAGGAGATATAGCCCATATCATAAATGTGATCAGTCGAAAGAATTGATAGTATTTGACGTCTGTAGGTCGCATAAGTTGGATACATCTACAATAGTTAACTATACTTTCTTTCTCGAATGTTTAAAGAATATACGGTCTCACTTGATTGGTCTGTGAAGTTTCGTTAAGGTACTGTGTTGATTGAGATTGTTCCAAGCGTTGTTGTTTGTTGTTTGAAGTTGTTAAAGTTGTAATAAATTGTTAAGATTTCTTCATCTAACGTTTTTGAGCAGGTCATGACCTGATATTGTTTCCACACTACTGTGTCTTGCCCTATTCATTTATGTCTAGGCCTTCTGATGATCGGCAATGTCCCAAGTTCTCATTCAACCAGAGAAATCAACGCCAAAAATGCGTTATATCCGATGCCAGGTCCTCTGAATGGATCGCCGCTACGACTGAGGTAGGGCACGCCGAATAAGTTTCAAAATCAGGCCGATAAAGTAAGCATTTTTTAGAAATAAATATTTTTAATACCAATTGAAATTGCCTAGTTTGTCGTTTGCGGTAAGGCCTCAAAGGCTTCATTGCACTCTACTATTCACTGCGGGATTGTTACAAGCACCAATTTAGGCTCCGAAGGGTGGACAATGAGACCGATTTGGAGCGACAATATCGAGAGGCACGCGAAGAATTGAACAGGTGTTCCACTGATATATCAATATTTCGTCATATATCTGAGGTCCTTGTTGATGTTTCCCTTGAAAAATAATATTTTAGATGGAACTCATCATTCTGGGAGAGGCACAACACTTTATTTGACAGGAGAAAGTCTGAATTCGTCCAAAAAGTAGGTTCAGTTCAAAAATGTTTGCAGTATTTTAGCTCCACCCAACCAGCTCGTTGACCTGTAGGTATGATCTGATTAATTTTTTTCCAGCGAAAAAAGGAGATTGGACGGATAGAGCAAATTTCGGCAAATGATCTATCTGTTTTCTACAAGGAGTTTCTTGATCTAGAACATGCGAACTTGATGGCATACAACAAGTGAAGTTGTTAGAATTGCTTATCTTATGTATTTTCCTCCATCAGCTTGATTCATCGTTAGATTGTCATCTTTTGATGATAAGAGGATAGAACATTTGGCGTCAATAAATCTTTTTAGGGATGCACCGTGCATCCTAGTCCCACTCAAAAATCGAGGGGGGAGGGTGCTGAATTGTAAAGCTCAGACAAAATATGAACCACTATTTTATCCTCCTAGACGAAGATACGAAATAGACGACCACCGGGACTTAAAACTGGACTGATCTCTACGGAACCCCACGGGAGATCCAATCCCCAAACCGTGTTCGTGGCAGGCGGCGCCACACGCGACCGTCCATTCGCGACCTCCGTCATTCGTTGATAATCGTTGCAATTTCCAATAAACTCTTCCAAACATAGGTACTTGCAAAAGATTGACCGCAGCATATTTGCTTACAATTACCGTAAGCTTAAAAAGTATTTTTCAGAGAGTGGTACCGGCGTAACCTTGCACTGTGCTGGCCAGCACTCAAAGTGAATATGATTCGATTTATGCGATTATTAAAAAGGTCATGAGATCCATTGTCACTGCATGTGAGAATATTATATCGTAGGTGATAGTTGTAAATAGTTAGTAACAAGATTTCGTCATTTTTCTAGGTTATTTACATTCATAAAGTGTTTGTACTTTGAGTATTTCTACTTCGAGAAATGCTATAAATTTGTTTTCAAGGTAACCTTTCGTATCATATAGCGATCCTTGGGTTGACGCACAACCTGCTGCTAATAGAATACCGTTTATCCACTCTACTGTTCGGAAAAACAATCGACACATTTGGTTCAAGAGTTTTATCACTTAAATTATGAAATACTCATTTCTCTCACAGTACCAACACATGACAAAGGTGTTCGAAG